TGGTTGTCCAGCTCATTATTCGAGAATAGTTAGAAACTGTCTGGACGAAAATTATATAGAAAGATGGATCGGCCGTGGAGGACCAGTCGCCTGGCCTCCACGATCCCCTGACCTAAATCCATTAGATTTCTTTGTGTGGGGATTTCTAGAAGAAAAAGTGTACCAGACTCCCGTAACCACAGGAGATATGCTAATAGACAGAATCAGGAATGCATGTGATGAAATAAGGCCTTATTTGAATAATGCTATACCACGTTCGATCATTCGTAGATGTGAATTGTGTATTGAACAATTGAGTTTACATTTCGAGCAACTACTTTAGATTTTGTATGCTTGTCCTAACTATCCAATAGCATTTTAGTTGTAAATAATTAATTTAATTTGTTAAAAATAATATTGGAAAATTAAACAAATTAATATTCAGTTTTTTTGTTTTTATTTTTTAGTTAGGAATTATTGCTGTGTTTAAAAACACAATCTAAACGATCATCTTAATTACTTGTAATGCCCAAATCGAAAATGTAAAAAAAATATTATTTTCCCATTCATAATTCAAAATGCATCGAACCTTAAAAATCGAAATATCTCAAAAACGGCTAACTATAACGAAAACTCACAAGAGAGCTTTTTTATGCAGAAAAGTGCGAAGAATCAGTTTTTTTATTCAAAAGGCAAAAAATTGCACTAAGAAAATTTTTTCGGTCATTTTAATTCGCTACAGTACAGTAGAGAGCGCCCACAGTAAAACTATGCCCATGGTTCGTTTTGTCGTACCAAAAAACCCTTGTATACCAATTTTCACTGTTATACATAAAATATTGTTCGAAATATTTAAAAAAAACTATTTTAAAACGTAAATTTAAACACCGTGTATTTCGGAAGCCACGCATTTTTCGACCCATGTTTATAATTTTATCGAATCTTAAAGTTATGCAACAATAAACTGAAACACCCTGTATACATACAGGTCAAGCCAGTAAAAGAGTGTTAAAAAGTACCTTTTAACGAATCTGCATGATGCCCAGCCCAAAACAGCGTCAAGAATTGTTAAAACAATTTTTAAGCACATTCAAAAAATTGTTTATAATATTTCTATTTTTGTCATTCTGAACAAAAAATTGCGATATATGCAATTTTAGCCCCGAAAAACAATATGAAAAAATGTCCATGCTGCCGAAGTTCCTCAATATTCGCTTTGTGTTTTCGTTAATTGGGGATTGGAGCAGAACTTTGGCAACATGGAAATGTTCGTTTTTTATATTGTTTATGGAGTCGAAAACACTTTGCACTTCTTCAGATATTAAATACACGTACCTCAAAAACTATCAACCTTGGAGAAAAGTGCATACGAATCTTTATTGTTGAGAATAATCCAAAAAATCTAAAAGGACGGCCATGGGACATTTCTTAAGAAAAAAAGGTGTCAATTTTGGGACTGACGACATTCAAAAGGAATAAGATTGTGCAAAAATGGAATATTTCTCCAAGCAGATGCGAAGATATTTCCTCTACTATAACTATACAGGGTGTCCGCAAAGTTGGGGTTTTCCTTTTCAGAAACAACAACTTTTGAAATAACAAAGGTAATGTGTAGTGAAACGAGGGCGACCAAGTAAAAAAAAAATAAAGGAAAAAGCACTCACCTCCAGTTGACGAGAAGGGCTAAGTGCGTCTCTGCCCGAAATCATACCGCTACAACAGAAAATGAAATCAGCTGATGCGCTACCGAGCAGACGCACCATGCCAGCCCAAACATTCACCGAAAATGTTTGTTAAAAATGAGCCCGACGGACAGCGTGCGGATTTTCTACTGACCAAAGATGAGTGTTGCGAAAGTTATTCACCCCATTACGCGTGAACGTAGATTCGTCTGTCACCAATATGCACTTCAAAAAGTCCGGATTATTGTCATGTTGATGCAACAACCACTCACAAAACCGCACTCTTGCTGGAAAATCGTCAGGTTGAAGGGCTTGTACACGTTGGACGTGAAACGGATACAGCCCCTCTTCACGCAGCGTTTGCCATACTTTAGTTTTTGATACTTGCGATACTACGCGTGACCGTAACCGTCGGTTGTAGGTTGCATACTGACCTGACACACTGACCCCGACCTAGTTCTGTCGTCGGGTTGCGCCAGTGACATTGTACCACTCGGTGATATCGCGGGTCGCGGCTACAGGACGGTATTAAGATATTTTTGATGTTGCAGAGCCCTTTATCTCGGTTCCCCCCTACAGCGGTTGCTGCGGGTCACTCTGACCCTCACATGTCTTCTACGCCCTACCTCTCCCTCTCCCGTATTAGTTAAGATACATCGCTCGCCTCTTCGGTACCTTCCTATGAACTACTTATCTACAAAACTCTGTACATGTTGCTTTGTTTACATTGAGCTGTCTACTTTAACGGAGCTCTTACGGGTCACCGTGACACGCAGCGACTGTTTTCGGTGTCATATTATTTTGCGACTATTTTTGGTTCTATTGTTTATTACCGGAATTTTGGTGCCTAAGTAAGTATAATAATTCCATTTTTGTAATTTTTTTAGTAAGGTCATTTAGGTAAATATTTCAAGCACTAAAGGATGTTTACATATAGTTTTTTGCGTCAGTTTACTTGTGCAGTTTAGAACGTAAAAACAAAGTGATAGCGTGGTTTATGAATGAAAAAACTGTTGCAGATTTTCTGTTCCTATGCTACTCATACGTTATTGTCTACAGAAATAAAACATTAGGAAAAACTGTGCGTGTAAATATGCCTTTACTTATTTCGTCAAGCTTTCTACAGTTTTGGCAGCGATAATATCATTTAATATTTAGAATTTGGAAATGGACACACCGGGAACAAGCAATTTTCATCCTATTCCATGTAAAAATGTCTATGGTGTGGATACCGAGGAAGAACTGGGATTGGACGAGAGTGACCTTGGAAGCAATGTAGATCCGGAAGAAGAGATTAGAGATGATGGCGAAAGAGATACCGATACTGAGCAGAGTGATGATGAAAATGGGGATGATCCTGCAAGTGATAGTTCTACTTCTGAAGACGACATTCCATTGCTCTATCGAGGATGCTATAATGGCAAAGACAAAACAAGTGGACGAAGGCTGAGCCAACACAGTCCATTCAGACGAGACGTCAAAATATTGTTGCACCAGCTACCAAAGGCGCTGTTAGATAAGCTGATACGCCACTAAAAGCTTGGCAGTGTTTTTTACTGATGAATTGTTGCTAAAAATTGTTGAATATACAAATATCTATATTGGTATTATAAGAGATAACTACAAAGTGAAAGAGACGCTAAAAACACAAATATGGAAGAGATAAAAGCTGTATTTGGACTTTTGTACTATGCAGGTGTATTGAAATCATCTCATTTGCACACCAATGAATTATGGAGTGACAATGAAACTGGTGTTTTTAGATGTGTGATGTCCCAACAGCGATTTAGATTTTTACTTAGAGCTTTTCGATTCGATGACAAAAGGGATCGTGCAGCTAGAATTGCAGTAGATAAATTAGCCCTACTGAGAGAAGTGTTTGATTATATTGTTTTAAAATGCAGACAAAATTTTTCAGTGGCTGAATATACTACTATAGACGAAATGTTATGGAGTTTCCGAGGGCGTTGCTCTTTTCGCGAATATATGCGAAATAAACCAGCGAAATAAGGTTTAAAAGTTTTTTCGCTTGTTGATGCTCGAACTTTTTAGCTGCTGAATATGGAGTTTTATTTGTGTAAACAACCCCCAGGACCTCACCAAATAAACCAAGCCCCTGATGAAGTTATCAAGAGACTAATAACGCCAATAAGCGGAAGTGGACGAAATGTTACTCATGATAATTGGTTTACCAGTGTTTCACTTACTCACCACCTGTGGCAGCAACATAACTTGACAACAGTAGGAACCATCAGAAAAAACAAACCTCAGGTCCCTCCTTGCTTTATAAAAAGCAAAGATCGTCAGGTAAGCTCGTCTGTTTTTGGTTTTGAAAAAAATTGTACAACGTTGGTATCATATGTACCAAAAAATGGCAAGTTTGTTGTTCTGTTATCGACTATGTACCATGGTAAAACAATTGATCCCGATAGTGGTGCCGCCCGAAAACCAGAGATTAGCACATTTTACAATTGCACAAAGGGTGGGGTTAATTTAGTAGATGAGATGTGTGGCACATACTCAACTGCCAGAAAAACCAACAGATGGCCTCTTTCGTTTTAGCATATCATCGTACAATGAAACTTTGCTCAAAGGGTTAGCCAACGAACTTGTTTCTCCATACATGCGATTTCGACTGCAAATTGCAAAAAAAGTTTACCAGGACCAACATTATAGAAATTCTCCAGGAAGATGAACCTGCCGCTGCCGAAGAGGAGCAAGCAGAACAAGGTTCAAGAAAAAGGAAGAGATGTAAGTTATGTGCGAGAACTGGTAACAAATCTTATCACACTTGTGCGATTTGCAAAATATACATCTGTGGAAATCATGGCAAACTTACATGCCTGAATTGTCTGATAAATACTCCTTAGAAATGGGCACGGAATAAATACTGTTTATAAATGGTTTCAGAGATATTTTTTTGTTATAAATTTTAATCTAGTATTAGCAGAAAAAATAGATTTATGTTTTTCATTATATAAAGTAGAATTTTTTTCAGAAATAAAAATTAATCGAACTACGCAAAAAAAAATTATTTATTTTTTGAACGATACCTAACTTTTAGATTTTAAGGTTTTTTTATACCAATGTTAGATTATATTCTTTAGTTACCTTCGCAAATAAAGTCTTTAACAAAATAATCACGCAATTTTATTGTTTATACTATATTTATAGGGCCTAACATTAGCGGGTCACTGTTAGGCCCACTGATTAATATACTTTAGGGGTGTGACCGCTGTCGGGTTAAGATATTGGTGTATATGGTACTAAGAAAAATTGCTTATGTTTTCAAGATCTACACGTCGTGTAAAGGAAACCCTGTATATCAATTTCACTTACCTCCTGCATGACTTCCTCAGGGAACTTCGCGTCGTTCGCGCCCCTGGATAATCGTACAGGTTCCTGAGTCCTGGCGACGTACGCGGGTAAAGCGTTGTCTCCACCGATTCCACACCCGGAACCGTTCCGAGCGGATGCCGGAGCATGTTCCGGAGCTGCGATCAGCCTCAGGTCCTCAGGGTCGCTTTTTGTTGACAGGAATAACCTGTAAGAAAGAATGAGAAATGGTACTATGATAATTAACAGGCTACTTACTAGTATTTTTTTTTTAGAAAAATGCAAAAGGTCACCGTATTTAATGGATCCTGACTTTTTTTATGAAGATTTTTTAAAAATAGGGTTTACGCTAACAAACCAAATACTGTAGAGCAGCTGAAGAACAATATTACGGAAGCGATTGAAAATATTCCTCCAGAAACCTACCAAAAAGTGATGGAAAATGTAGTCGAGGGGGCTCAGGTTTGCGCGGCTTCTAGAGGCTGATATTATTTTCCATAAGTAATTTCTAAGTTTCAATAAAAGATTAAGATGAAAAAATGGAAGTATTTTATTTCATTTCACTAATATTCAAGATACAAACCAGTGAGTTACATATCGACCACCCTGTACTTATTCGCCAGTTGCAGTGGGACGTGAAATGAACATTTCAGGAAAAAATGAGTAGCGAAAAAATGAGACAAATGATCTCCTGGACATCTGAAATACTAACAAGTAGCAAGGATCAATCCTAAGTGCATTTCATTTTCAACTTGATTTGTGTCTCGTAAAACACTGAAACATGCTACAACCTCTATCAGACGATATCATATTTCAAGCAAAATCCTGTTTAACCCCTTTTTGCGTGCAAAATCTTGACTCATAAAGACCTTATCTAATAGGCCGTGTTATTTTATACATTGTTACTCCTGTACGGTAATTTCCGATAACGTACCTGTTTTTTGCAGAAGCTTCATTCGAAAAGGAGCTTTTAGTTATAAAACTCCTATATTACTCGGAAAATATTAATTTATTTTTGACAGGAACTGAGAGATACTGTCGGTAACTTGACAACATATTTAGTGGAACTAGGCGATAGAATTTTTGACATATAGTTCAGACATTGATGGTCTGGTTTTGAAAGTGGCCGTCAATACACAAGCCCTGTTTGGGCCAAATAAATGGGACTTATGCGATGTTCTGATGACCTCAGCGAGAAACAAACGACAGGCTGATGATCTACGCATCCCAAGAAATGGGGCCAAAGATTTTTTTTAATGTGATATCTGGAACTGGTGTTCTTTTTCGTTGTGATGTGGTTTTATTGGCTAGAAAATCATAGTTTGCCTTTAAACTTTAAATCATCGCCATCATTGCCATGTATATTAGGTAAGTATAGGTAACACTACATCAGGCATTTTGTTGTTTTTGTTGTAAGTTATTACACTTTGCTTGCACTGTACATGTCTTAGTAAACAAAAACATAGATATAGCTACTTTGTATATCGTCGTTTTATCAAAAATATCAAAACATGGATTTGTATGTATTATTTGATAATATCATTTCGAAATCGATCTGCCAGATAACATTCGTAATTATATTTTTATTATTTATCAAGCATATTTTGTTGTTTCATCTTATCCTCAATTATCAATTTGAGGTTTACTTACTGATGCCACATTGCATTTTTGCATAACTGATAACAATTTTTTATTCCAAAAATGTACAAGATATCATACATTAATGCTGTAAAACTGTAATTGTTCAAAGGAAGCATAACTTGCAAAGCAGGTCTTGGTCTTATCAGGCATTTGTTTCATAATATCATCTGAGTTTGTATGAAGTGGGTATAGGTGATCAGTCCCTATTTCCAATTTTAATGACGAAAAAATTTGCTGAATTTTAAAGTGCGAAAAAAGTTGTGTGAATCTTTTGTGTTATCAATTTTTAATTATTGCAATCTAGTTTATCATCCTTGTTTGGATGTTGCAAGTCGTAACAGAATATCTGTAGTACAAAATAACTGCGAACGATTTATATTTAGTTTAAGAAAATTTGAACATGTTTCGGATCGTTATCCTTTAATAGGTTAATGGGTTGGTTAAAGATGACAGATTTAGTTAAATACAACTATCTAACCTTTATACATAAGTTACTTGTCTCTCGAACTCCAATTTATTTACGTGAAAAACTAATTTTTAGGCATAATGTAATGTAATGCTGCTTCATAGTTCATCTGTTTTTAACAGGTCCTTCTCATATAATGCATGCATGTTGTACAATAGCTTAGATTATAGAACAAAAAGCCTGCCTCTGTATAGTTTTAAAAATTACTTAAAAGCTCTTCTGCTCAATGGTGCTTCTTAAAGGTGTTTTTCTCCAGCATTATATTTGTAAGCTAATTTTTGTTTAGGTTGTGATCAGTTACATGGGCATTTTCATCCTTTTATTTTCTTTACAGCTGTACTTTTTTACCATCTATTATTCTTATGCAGCAAATGGTTAAGTGTAAGAATAGCTGTCATAGCTAAACTTCGCCATTAAGCTGCTCACTAATCTAATTATAGATAATAATTCATGCATTATCTGTAATTTGTTTTTTCTAATAAAAGACGGTTTATTATTATTATATCATTGGCGGATTTAGGTGGCTATATCTTTGTGCGAAAATTACCTGCTAGACCTAAATCAAGAGGACGTCACCTCCTCCTAACCTGTACTACGCTGATGTACTAGCAGTTCGACGCTGTAAAACACCTGGCAACCAAGTAGCGATGGGCGATTACTGATAAAAACCGCTTATTTCTTGCACTGTTTAACCCTACCAAATTTAAACGGTTATGCTGTTCACCGAAAAAATCGGTGGATTTAGGAATGTGATCGTCTTTTGGGGGAGGAGGATACGTATCGGCGATTGAAAATTGAAGAGTGAGTGGAGAGACGGCCCTATTCGTATTGGTTTTTGTAGATAAAAAATAATAATGACCTTTGTTCCAGTTATTGAACTTTTTATCCGATGACCGGTTCACAGTACATTTTAAAATAACCGGTTAATCCAATTAAAAAAGACTGTTATTTAATCAATCGATTGTTCTGCTATGCGCTCATTTAACGGACTTCGTATCTCATATCATATCTGAAATTTCAATGGTGAAAGTCAAATTTGAGACGCCCAGTATAGTTTCGTTTGAATATTAGTTTCAAAGCCACATTCATTGGACGAAAATTGTGAGTACAATGGCAACGGCGCTCTAAAAATTATACAATACCCATTCATATCGCAATATAAACAATGATTCTAATTAAGTTTGAAATAACATTCAACACGAAATTCAATTATGGAGCAGTTGTTCTGTAAATAAACGCGGGGTTGCCATTTAAAATGTTATATATGAATAGGCTCTACTGGCCTCATATTTTATTATTATTATTATATATATTATAAAAAAAATATTAAAATAATGGGCAATATCCGCAAAAAGAAGGAAAGTGGATTCGAGCTGAAAGATAGGATAGGTAACCTGAGCGATACGTATCTCTGTTGGTTGGCTTCATCATGCCCGAAATGAATGCGCATATGCAACTACAAAAGTAGATACACATGCCCATATATCCGGATACGGGTGTAACCTGAGGAAATGAAGATAGGAAAAAAATTACACACGAAGTCCACAACAAGAGCCAACAGTAGTATGAAATGGCTAGAAGACTTCGAATTTTCAAGGTGACATCTAACCACAACCAGGCGGCTGGTTATAGCTACTTGCTTGCTGTGGTAATTCAAACCCAAGGGATCTACAAAGAGAACATTATCATGCGGAGAAAGGTACCATACATGACAAAAAATAGGAAAATAATGGGAAAAATCCACAAAAAGAAGGGGCCTGATGAAGCCGACCAGCAGAAATGTGTATCGCTCGTGTTACCTATCCTGTGTTTTTTTGCTCAATATATATCTTATATCTTATATATATACATTGAGACGTGGTTATTGTCGTCTAACAACCAGTTAAAGAAAATAAAAAATTATATAAATGATTTTAAATTACTTATAATGGTATGTGAGATTGTTGCTAAATGTTATTAAAGGTTACGTTGGGGGAAACATTTTAACTTAACCTTTAACATTTAGCAACAATCTCACATACGTAAGTACTTTAATATAATTTTGCAAAATAGTTTCTTCTTAATGTTATTGCAGCTCCTGATGATGATGGCATAGACCATTGAAAGCTAGAGACTAATAAAGTATAAAGAGTCCTCATTGCTTGAATTTTGTCGAAGTACCCAACTAGGAAGGCGGAAGCTTTATTTTTCACCTATCTGGTCTAGACGACAATGGCCACGTCTCGTGTTTTTATATATGTATATCAGAAAAAGAGCTCGTACACGCCTAAATTCTTCGTCAATTCAGAATGCGTCCAGGGCTCGTATTTTTTGAATAAGTGATACAAGTCGTATGCGCTAGTCATCACCCTTGTCATGAAGATACCGAAAACTTGCCATACTCCTAACAGACCAAGAGGTTGTGCCAATTTCGACCAAATTCGTACAAAATAAAGGGCTAATATAACTTATTGGCAAACACGTGAACCTGCTGCTACAAGGAGACTGTGTGAAAAATCAAAAAGTCTAAAATTCACATATTATCAGGTTATAATGGGTGGTTCTTAACATATAATGATGCTTTGTAAAAATGTAACATCAAGAGCTGCAGCCGAGTATATTAAGGCGCTTGTACAAGAGGCAAGCGATTCTACCCGCATTTTCAAATCGCAAGTCGTGCCAAACTGTTTTCTGTTTTTCCTGTTTCAGTTTTCATTTCTTTTATTCTGTCTCATTTCAATATTGTTTTTTTGTAGTTGGCAGCACTTACTTCCTGGATTCACAAGATTTTGTGTAAAGAAGGTGTTTCTGGAATTTGCAAAAAAACTGACCAGTCAAACATCGTAGATGGAAGTGCGGATACGTTTAATAGTGATAGGCCTGGGAGACATTGAATTATAGTCCAGCGAGTATCTTCGGTTTTATGCATAATATTACTCAAAAAGGATCGAACATGAAAATTGCGTCGAAGTGTTTTCGAACAAATCACATTTTTTTTCTTGCTACGGACGAACAAAAAAAAAGATTTAGTAAACAATAACTTGAGAGAAAAGAAAAGTGGGCTCCGGCAGGAGTCGAATCCGAATCTCCTCCAGCCGACTTAACCAATTAGTCTACTCTTAGAGGTAAATTCAATCCTACATAAGAAACTGCCCTTTCGTTCTTTCAAACTGCTTGACGCCCCATCTGGCGGCGTTCAAGTGAAACAAACCGGATGGTAAGGTATCTCCAATTGTCTTCTAGTAGCATCACACCGTCTCGTGGGCACTTACCACGGTACCACCATGCGAGGACAGTAACCTTATGAAGTTTTGAATGACAAGAAAGAAAATTTTAATGTTCTCAAGGTTCCAAAATATTCTTCAAACATCCATAAATAAAACCACAAAGGATTTTTTGGGTATTGTTGCTGTATTGTAAGTCTTTGTTTCTTAAATGTTAGTTAGACAGAGATGTAGCTGAAGCCGCGTTCTTTTGTATTCACGAGGGGTCAATAGTAGGCTCTCATCTACATCTTTCAGTGGATATTGTAAAAAGTCGTAGGGAAAATGCAGTAATTATAAAAGAAAAAGTAGGTACCTACTTATATCCGTCAGCGTTCACAGCCGAGCAAATGCAATTCGCCAGTTCCCAGAGGACTTGGTCTTTGGTAGGTTTCTGTTGTAGACTCTGCGTCAGATCTTGGAGCATTTGACGTTTGTCGGCATGGACGCAGAATTTCCACCTGCAATCAAAACGCAACAAATTTGATAATTTAGGTTGAATATAGAGTAAAAACGTTTACTAGGATTTATCCATTTTTCGTACGAACGTTTCCTGAAAACTGCAAGGGTTTTTGTTACTGGACGATTTTTTTCGGAGGAAGAATATTTTTAGACCATTCCAAAAAATATATGTACTGTATTGAACCGGCCCTTACAAAAAAACCCCAATCTTCCAGCTACAAAAAACCGGCAAATATATTTCATTTTCTGCATTTTTTCGATGTCCATTTTGTTATCAAATCTCACGTAAAATAGCTGGTACTATCAGCTTTCCAGGAAGTTATAAACCAATTTTGAACATACAGCATGCATAGTATCTAATTCAACTCTTGCACACTCTGTTATCTCCATTATTATAACGGGTGATTTTTTAAGAGGTATAGGATTTGATTTTCAAAAAAAACACAAAACATTTGAAAAAACGATTAAATCTTTATTTGAGTCGATAGATCGGTCGATATAATTTAATGTTTAAAGATTATTTCATGTAAATATTGGCCGCTGCTCCGCTTTAGATGACCCATGCGCAAGGTCCAATTTTGGCACACTCTCTCCAACATATCGGCCGGTATCTCACGAATAAATGCTTCAATATTGACTTCCAGTGCGTCAATCGTTGCTGGTTTATCCCTGTACACACTAGCCTTAACATGGCCCCACAAGAAATAGTCCAACGGCGTTAAATCACATGATCTAGGCGGCCAATTGACGGGCCCCAAACGTGAGATAAACTGTTCACCGAACTCGCCTCTCAATAGGGCCATTGTTTCGTGTGCGGTGTGGCATGTGGCACCGTCTTGTTGAAACCACATGTCAGCCAAGTCCAGCTCTTCCATTTTGGGCAAAAAAAAGTTTGTTATCATCGCACGGTAGCGCTCGCCATTCACAGTTACGTTCCGGCCATTGTCGTCTTTGAAGTAGTACGGCCCGATGATGCCACCGGCCCATAATCCACACCAAACAGTGATTTTTTCGGGATGCATTGGTAGTTCTTGCAATGCTTCTGGCTGGTCTTCACTCCAGATGCGGCAATTTTGCTTGTTAACGTACCCATTCAACCAGAAATGAGCTTCGTCGCTGAACACAATTTTTCGATAAAAATGTGGATCTTCCTCCAACTTTGCCAGCGCCCATTCACCAAATTCGAAACGTTGTTGAAGGTCGTGTGTCTTCAATTCTTGCATCAGCTGTATCTTATAAGGTTTTACACCCAAATCCTGTCGCAAAATTTTCCACGTAGTGGAGTAACAGAGGCCCAATTGCTGCGAACGGCGGCGAATCGACATTTCACGGTCATCACTAACACTGGCAGATACAGCCGCAATATTTTCTTCAGTCCTCACTCGACGTCTGCGTGTTGGTGGTTTAATGTCCAATAAGGTAAACAGGGTTCGAAATTTAGTCACACGCTTCCGAATAGCTCCCTCAGTAGGCCGATCAAATTGCCCATAAATTGGAAGCAGTGCTCGATGCACTCTCTTAACCGAGCATGAATTTTGATAGTAAAATTCAATAATTTGCAAGCGTTGTTCGTTCGTAAGTCGATTCATGGTTAAATTATAGACCAAACTGAACAAGTTTGACAATGACACAAGACACGATTCACGAGTCATCTGTCAAAAACAGTGTTGCCAAAAAGATACTAGCAAAAAAATCACCCATTATTTATTACTATTGAAATCCTTGATCTTTGACGTAAGACCGCAGAGTAGAAAAAATATCAGTAAAAAACAGTATTGTTGATTAAAAAAAAATGAAACTACTGCCTTTCAACACGCACCACGACGTCTGTGACGTTGCGGCTAGGGCACCGTGGCGCTGCTCAATTCGGATCGGACCCTCCGCAGGTAAAAGGTACTGCGTATTTTTGCGTAACTGGTGTGAGATACATTTTACATGCGGGTAGTACTACCAAGACCACAAATCGCTTAATAATAAAACTTCTTTTACTAATACTTAAGACGCAACATTTACAACCCCCTACTCCCTACAAGCCCCAAGCCTGAGAACGAAGCAAGAGTGATTTTTTATTTTTTCATTTTTTACTCGAAACTCCGCAGCTAATGGACCAATTTTCAAAAATAGCAAAGCTTTTTAGTCCTTGACACAGCAGTCACACAGACTGACGGAAACAAGTGACATAGTTTTTCCTGATGCAGTTGTAAAAATGACGTCACAAAAACATATAATTTCATTTTCGAAATATTTCGCCATTACTTCTTTGCCAGTGGGTTGCGAAGTAAAAGCGCAACTTTTATAAAGACGATGTCTTGTCTTGTGGAGGATCGTCAGTACTATATTGGCTTCCAAAGAAGGAGAACAATCATATACGTATCCAGCATTGAAAATACTTTTGTTGAAGCATTTACCGAGCTGTAAATAGAAAACAGACTGTGGTACGCAATTCTAGTGAACCTTCAACGGATCTAGACAGTTCGGCGCGATCTCGATTACAATATTTAGATAAACGGTGACCTAATTGATTGAAGAATAATAGAAATGAGCGATGGTCAATATTATGTATCTAGAGACAGTTTCACTCATTATTACGCGCAGTTACAACACATTGCAAAACAAGTTTATAGGAGGGCCAGCTTCCGATATACAGGGTGTAAACGTTATGGTAGACATTATTGAAATGGTTAATAGGGGTGGCCAAAACAAGTCAAAAAGTTCATATGACCCATGGTCCAAAAGTCAATAGATTTTTAACTAAATGGCTTTATATTTTACACAATCACCACAATCTTACTAATTTTTATAATCTAATCTGTAGTCAGTAAGTGAGTAAGTTTCGTTAAATTGAATATTTAAAACACACACGACAACAGCACGTCGGTTATCATCACTCTTATCGAACCGGCAATCGATCGCAAACGGTAACAGTGGTTAGTATATTGTTTTGTTTTTGCTCGCGTACGTCGTCGTGTTGATTTACAATGTTCTCGAATCAAGAGTTTGCCGTCATGTTGTTAGCTTACGGTGAAGCTCGTCAGATCGCGACAGATTTCGCCAACGGGTACAACCGAACAGAAGGACATTTGTGCAAGTGTACCAGAGACTTCGAGATACAGGAAGCCCACTACACAACAAATTTTAAATATCATGGAAATAAATGCAGATATCAGCACTCGGGTATTAGGACGCCGCGTAGGACTATCGCATACCATAGTCCATAGGATCTTACGGGAAGATTTGCTTTATCCCTACCATGTACAACGAGTGCCGGCCTTGTTACCAGAAGACTATCCTCGCATATTAACATTCTGTCAGTGGTTTTTGGACAGAAACATTGAAAATCCGGATTTTTTTAAAAACATTCTAGCGACGGACGGATGTACTTTTACGCGAGACGGGATATTAAATTTCCATAATACTCACACGTGGGCCCAAGAAAATCCTCATACCATTCGTGAAGGTCATTTCCAACAATGTTTTAAAATAAATATTTGGGCGGGTATTCTTGACGATCAGGTAACTGGCCCTTTCGTGTTACCCCCAAAGTTGTCAGGAGGAGGATACCTTAGCTTTTTAGCCAATAACCTACCAGAACTTCTGGAACAGACCTTAGACAACATGCCATTACAACGGAGACAGAATTTGTGGTTTCTTCATGACGGGGCACAACCACACATTTTTAGAGGCGTCATTCAGTATTTGAATGAACATTATCCAAATCGCTGGATCGGTCGAAATGCTCCTGATCCTCGAAAATGGCCAGCAAGATCTCCCGACCTCAATCCGATGGATTTCTGGTATTGAGGAGAACTTAAAGTGATGGTTTATGGGGCTCTATCGCCCATTTGAATAATGACTATCATAGCGCTTACACCCTGTATAATTAAGAGGAAAATACTTTTGATCATACGTGAACGAACAATTCAAGTTATTGGAAATACCAATAATAAATACTCGTATATGCGGACTTCAAATGTAATGAAAGGGCGCGAAACCGGATCCGTACCACAATTCCCCAGGGCCTCTCACCCGTGCATCCCACATAATATAAACAAAGCATGGACCCAAATACAGTGATTTATTACTGTTAATATTTATTACATTATCAAAGACGGAGGTGTCGATAACAATCCCACTACCCCAAAAACGCCACTATTATTAATTCATCAACGTGTAGTGTCACTGTGTGTGTACACCGTATCCGTTATACCGATCACCGAAGTTTTGTGAATGTGCACCGTTTACTCTCAAAGTGACGATTCTCAAATCAAGTACATGGTGAAGGACAATTACAAGCAGTCGAAGAAGACTCGAAGTACTTCAGAACGTCAAATTTATTGGAAGAAGTGCCACTAAGCATTTACAGCGTTTGAGGTTAAGTATGTATTTGCCAACCAGAACAGCAAGAAAATATCAAGGATTTAACGCAAAACATGTAATACCTTATCACGTACTGCCACAAATGCGGTATCTGTGCACTTTTAGCATGCTATTACACTAAGTGACATATAAATCCGAACACCCAGTTTAAATGGTTTTATTTTCATAAAATTTTGTATAAGTACTTAATGAAGCATAATAAGTAAATGATAAAAATTTCAAAATGATTGCGCTGCTTTAAAGCCCTTTGACCTTTAATAATGTGTGGATGCACCCTGATGTGCTACGCATTCTCCAACGCGCCTAGGCATGCTTCTGATCAGGTGGTCAATGTTCTCCTGTGGTATCTCATTCCAGGCAACCACCAACTCCTCTCGAAGTGCTTCTAGAGTCTGAGGAGAACGTTGCAAATTGAGCAATCTCCTACCCATCATATCCCACACGTGCTCAATTGGGGATAAGTCGGGAGATCTTGGTGGCCATGATAACAATGTGACATCATTATGTTGAAAGAAGTCTATTGTGACTCTTGCATCATGTGGTCGGGCATTATCTTGTTGGAAAGTTGGATCTGCCAGGGTGTCAAGATAGGGTAAAAGATGGGGTTCTAGAACTTCGTGGATATAACGCTGCGCGTTCATGTTACCTCTGATGAAGATTAAAGGTGACCTGGAACCATAAGCTATAGCACCCCAAACCATAACTCCAACAGTGTGATGAACATGTCTTTCAACAAAAAACTGTGGATTCCTCCTTTCACCACGTCGCCTTCTAACCCTGGCACGACCATCGTGCATGCCTAAACTAAGTCGAGACTCGACACTAAAGACAATACTGTTCCATTCCTGATCCCAGAGTGACCGTTGTCTGCACCACTCAAGGCGATTACGTCGGTGTTCTCGAGTTAAAGGGAGGACCCAGTGTAGCCGGTATGAAAACAAGCCAAAACTTCTCATTCGTCGGTAAACACTTCGCATGCCAATAGGTCTTCCGTGTTCTGCAAACCATTCATTTGCAATGGACCTGGTAGTGGAGAAACGGTCCCTTAAGGCCAATAATCTTAGGCGGCGATCTTCACGGTCTGTTGTTCTACGGCGGCGTCCAGTGCCCCTTGCTCTTTGCGTACGGCCTTCTCGAAGCCATGCCTGACAACACCTAACCACAGTGTCTACACTTCTTTGCACTCTAACTGCAATTGCCCGAAAAGAAAGTCCAGCTTCCCGAAGTCCCACTATACGGCCCCTATCAAACTCACTAAGTTGACGAAATCGTACAGGTCTCCGTACTCTAGGCATCTAACCGATCGTAAAGGATGTCAAGAACCAAAATCCGCCAACGTTGATTCTTTACTGCGGCTGAAATATTCATTTTTAGAGCGTTAGTGAATTAAAAAAAAAGCAGTATAAAAACCGGAATGTCCAAGTGATAAGGCTGACAATTTTTTCATTTGTTATCTACAGTAAGATAAATACATTCACCAACTTTTATTAAAATAAAACCATTTAAACTGGGTGTTCGGGTTTATATGTCACTTAGTATATTTAGAACAAGTTCTAAAAAATTCAGCACTAAATTTGATCATACAAAATTATGTACTAAATGCTGTCTGGCACTATCGTTAAATTTGTTCAAAATTTAGCACAAAATTTCGTGACGTAACAAACGGCCTTTAGAAAAAATGGAAATTTGTAGCAGTGGCAACTAAAAGATCATCACAAGGTGTAGATTGTTCCGATTTTTTCAAGCCCATAATATGAAAAGTACACGGCTTAAATTTTTTAACATTTTTTCGAATAACTATTATGACTCGGCCTATCCCCCGTTTTCGGTTTGACGCCGACTTCTGGGACACCCTGTATTTGATACTCTCCAAATCGCAAACAGCAAAATGTGCGCGTATTATGGATGCTGAGAATAAGAGAAAATGAGCACTGTTGATATTCCTGGCAAATTCCTGGCAAGCATGCATTCCTGGTAATACTACTGGGAAGCACTCTCATTCTGGAAAATGCCAGTAATTACTGGCAAAACGGCAACACTGAAATATAACACGTGAAACTTATCTTGTGGTTTTTCTGTTGAGAGGACTGCATTGCCTGGTCACTAAATCAAACTACACATGTTTTAATTACTATTTACTATACAGTACTGATTAAGAGTCCAGACGATAGAGCCCTATCGGTTGATCTTATTTGATAAATTAATCGCTTGGTGTCACATTTCATCTATTTGATGACAAAGTCATATTAGGGAACGACCTGTATTATTTCATCTAACGCATTGCTGCATGTTTTAAAGTTTTCTTATACTGTCCCCTAGCCTATTCTAAAACATTACAGATATGAATGAACTGACCTGGAAAGGCTCGTCTTTCTGCCGCTTTTCGTCTCCGGTTTCTTTTTCAGCCGTTGCGACTTCCGGATTATCCACCTTTCCAGTTGCTCCACTTCAACCTTCTCCATCACGAAATACTCCAGGAAATCTGGATGACTGACTAGATATTCAGAGACGGTCTCGGCTGGAACAAGAGAAACCCTATTTATTACGCTTCCTTCGAAGAACATGTCTTTAAAACGGAAGCTAGATAAGAACCGAATAGAGACATACAAAAGTCCTCGAAATCTTCGCAGCATCTCGTATATTCAGTGTGATGAAATGTACTCGTAAAATAATGCTCAGTTTTTTTTGGAAAAACGCTCAGATCCGTTGATTTTGTTTTCGAAGGGGACACAAGTTTGGCAAAACATCACGTTAGCACGTGCATCCCCCTAAGTGGGGTTACCACCCCCAAAATCTTAAATGGAAAGGGAAAGATATAAAATTAATGTACTTCAGTTCAGTAGTTTTGAAGATTTATTGATTTAAAGCTCAAATAAAACAGGCAAGTAAATGTTGAAAATGGCCACCATGACTCTCCATGCAATAATAAAGATTTTGGTCAAAACGTTGCCGTACATTTTGCAGTATTTGAGGAGTAATTTGAAGGCACTCATTCATTATTCTTTGTTGCAGGTCTTCTAATGGTGTTGGCTGAGTAGCATAGATTTTGTTTTTTAAATCACCCCACATAAAGAAATCCAAAGGTGATAAATCTGACGATCTTGGGGACCATTCAATGGCACCTCTTCTACCAATCCATCGATCTGGAAACGTCTGATCTAAATATTGTCGAACACGTAATGCGTAATGTGGTGGGGCACCATCATGTTGGAACATCAACCTAAAGTCTACTTTAAGCTTTAAATCAATAAATCTTCAAAACTACTGAACTGAAGCTCATGTATTTTACATCATTATAAAGCGAATTGAAAGACCTTTAAAATGAGGTATCACTCGACCCCCCCTCCATTTAACATTTTAGGGTTGGTGTCACGCCCGCCCAGGGGGCAGCACGTGTTAACGTGATTTTTTGCCAAACTTGTGTCCCCCTCGAAAACAGAATCGACGGGTCTGAGCGTTTTCTCAAAAAAAAACTGAGCTGCCAGTAAATGCGTCTGTTTCGTTTTCGATGCGTCACCCTGTATAAGAGAAACTACTCGTCGTCCAATCATATTAACAAATTTCCCGGAAATAATTGTAAAGTCTAGTTTTATCGGTGCAAATTATTCCAGGGGGTATTTAAAACATGGACGCCTAAAATGGGTACACCAATTCTTGTGGGAAAACTTTTTATTAGACAACAAAGAATGAGAAAACGTGTCGTTTAGGGGATTCAATCGAAAGTTTTGACAGAAACGTAAAAACTTTTCATATAAGATTTTTAGATATTTATAAGACAAAATGAGACTAGACGAAAATAAGATCCGACTAACAGCAAAAATGTTATGGCCGAAAAACGAGGCAAAATGCAGGTTTTGGCACTTGTTTGTAATGCGACGATAATTTCACGCAATTCCTTGAAATTCTTCAAATCCGTAGGAATCATACTTCTAAATAACAACAATAAAATTGGATTATATTGGTCAAGTGGTTTTTTAAGAATTTCTAATTGTTTATCCCAAAACACCTGCTTTCCGGCCATCACTACTAGTTTATTTAGCAATATACAGGGTCTGTTCAAAGAGCATTTAATAGCAAAATACCATTGAGATATCGAAAACTGTAAGAGATACGAATGGAAGCAAGACAGAAAAAAACAATTTTTCCAAAATCGCTATAATTTTTTCTTGACTCTATTTGTGGTGGGATTTAAAAATAAATTGCACATTAACATTGACACTCTTCCCCTTTTCCAAGACGGCGTAATTAGAATTTCGATATGACGTTTAATCTCTTGCCCTTCACCATCAGCTTTATTTTTTCTAATGAACGCCATATTGGATTTTTCAGAGATTCATAGAATTTTCAAATCTGATTCAAAAAATGTATAATACGTAATACATTTACATTGCCAAACCTAAGTTATTTAAAAAAACATAATATCCTACGTAGGCCTTGAAAGTACCAGACAGTCATTTGTTTCGCATACTGGATTTATCACGAAATCACTTTAATTTTTTCCTGACTTTACTTGAGATGGCATTTTAAAATAAACTTCAAAATGTTGGTATTGTTACTTCTTCTCTTCTGCAAGATAACGTGGTCAAATCTCGATATTTCTTCTTTCGCATTCTATAATCTCTTCAGTCCCAAGAAATTGTTTTATTTTCTTTTCTTGAAATTTTAGGTAAAATAACTTTGCCAGGATTCAAAAAAAGCAAGAAAATATATTTTACAAATAAACTTTACTTCAAAAAAAATATATAACATGTCCAGTATTTCGGACAAATGGACTCAACTATCTAATTATGAAATTCAAAGAAACATTGCCTTTCTGGAGAAATACACAAATATATCTCACATTTTACACAGAAAAATCTTGTTTTTTTTGTACAACCTAGATTACGGCAGCGCATATAGGAATTTTTGTTATTTACACTGCATATTGGTAAATGTTCACTACCAGTGGTCCTAACATCTCTTGGTGGTATCTCCGACTTCTTGCATTTTTTAGCAGGTCGGCTCGATTCTTCATCTGGGGTGGATGGTCTAGGATCTTGGGAAACTGTTGTTTGTGCCCCAAGGGCAAGACATTTTCCAATATACAGTTTGAATTCAAGTAAATCCATGATTGAGCTTTTTCTATCTCCACGAGCGTTGCAGTCTTGTCGGTATTCGATCCATGAATTTGTGACTGCTAGATCGACAAAATGCCAGAAAACTCTCACTGGCCATTTTTTGGTTCGCATACAGATTCGATAATAAGATATTAGTCTATCACACAAGTCTACTCCTCCCATAGAACGGTTGTAACTAGTTACAGAATTTGGACATGGGACAAGAATATATTTTGAATTCTTTTTATCCCATTGACGTACGTCTGTTTGCGGTGCAGAACCTGTTGATGATGATGCCATTGTAACTGATCTGTTGTCCATCCATTTGAGAATGGTACATTTTTTGTCTTCCCTTATGAATTCGTCGAAGGAACCGGGACCTTCTGAGAGCAGCTCTTTATCATTTTTCATTTTGTTTCTAAAATCTCGCAGAATCCGGTTGTTCATAATTGTTCCCGTTCCCAATATTCCTTGTGTCAGTAAATGATCCAGTAGACTGACTGAAGTAAAATAACGATCAAAATAAATTATGTGCCCTGGTGACAAATCTCCTGCAAGCTTCTTAACAACCGAACCACCTAATCCTAAATTTTGATCGGGAGAACCATCCGGCCAAGTTTTTGCACCTTGGTAAATAAAAAAATCTAGTACGAGTCCAGAAGGTGTAGCCAAAGCAAAATTTTTTAATCCCACAGGATTTGGCTTATTTTTAACATACTGTCGTAGAGATGTGGTACCAGTGAATGGGATCATTTGTTCGTCGCTGAACAATTCTATACTTTTTTTTTTTATATCGAAACAGCCGCGCAGGCAGAAGCCTAAATGCCGGAACACCGCGGCTGCTATGATGATCCCAAAGAAATTTTGTTAATACGATTTTTGAACTGCCTAAGGTTAGTAGAACTGGGAAAAGCTTCCTCAAGTAGATTGTTCCACAATCTAGACACCCTCGGGAGAAAGGAGCGGTCGTATCGGCAAGTTCTGGATGTACGAAGTTTGACACGGTTAGGATGGGACGCCGAAGTCAGGCGGGTCTGTCTGGCAGGCACATCGCGCGGCGGCATCATGGAAGAGAGCTCTGAGGAACAAAGCCCGTTGGTGTAGCGATAGAACAGAGCTAGATCGCCGACGGCCCGCCGGTGCGAAAGAGTCCCGAGACTGTCTGTTAGAGAAGAGTCATCGATCAGTCGGACCGCCCTCCTCTGGACAGCATCGAGCATGGACAATGTAGTTGGGGCGGCAGCACCCCAAATGTGTGAGCAATACTCGAGGCTAGGCCTTATCTGGGCCTTGTATAGAGTGAGAAGGTCATGCGGAGAAAAGTACTTCTTAGCCCTAAACAAATAGCCTAGCTTTTTCCCAGCAGCTGCAGCTATTGAAGAGATGTGTTCGTGCCAGATCAGGTCCTCGGTGATCTGGACTCCGACCAGCCGAAATGAATGGCTCTTTGGTAGAACTCGACCGTCCATCGAAACTGTATGAGCGCTAGGACGCTTTTTGTTCGTCAAAGTACAGTACTGTGTTTTGGAAGCATTGAACTGTACAAGATTGTTGCGTCCCCAAGCAGTGATAGCGTCCAGGTCTCTTGTCAGAGAAGAAGTCGTCGCTAGTCTTCTTTTTTCCAGCTCAGCGGCAGAGATCGGCTTGTCACTCTGAATTCCTGCATGTAGAGTGCTGTCATCAGCGAAGCTGTGGATTGGGTTGATCGTGCAGGAAAGGAGGTCGTTGATATGTAAGAGAAACAGTGTTGGAGCCAAGACCGATCCCTGGGGAACACCCGCGTTGACGTTGTGGGATGAAGAGGAGAATCCGTCAATTACGACGGATATCTTGCGGCCAGAGATAAAGTCAGCCACCCATCTGCAAAGCTTTTCTGGGAGGCCGTAGGATGGAAGTTTTCTTAAGAGGGCAGCGTGCCACAGCTGATCGAACGCTTTCGTGATGTCAAGAGCAACGACATGAGCCTCACCATGAGACTGGATGAGTTTACTCCACAGTTGCGTGACGTAAGCTAGGAGGTCCCCTGTGGATCGTTGGTGCCGGAAACCGTACTGCCTGTCGCTAATCAAGCTGTGACGTTCGAGGTAGTCCAGAAGCTCGCGATTTATGCACCTCTCCATCACTTTACTTATAACAGAAAGCAGAGCTATAGGCCTGTAGTTGTAAGGGTCGGTTTTAGATCCTTTTTTTGGGATGGGCTGTACATGAGCAAATTTCCAGTTTTCTGGGAAGGTGCCGGATTCATAAGATATCTGGAAGAGACGCGAAAGAACTGGAGCAAGCTCCGCTGCACATCTCTTCAGTACAATGGCAGGAATCAAGTCCGGACCAGAAGCTTTGTTGATGTCGAGCGACAAGAGCACTCGTCTTACGGTCTTATGCCGGAATGTTACCTCCCGCATAGTGTGGGGAACCCTTTGAA